ACCAACATTTACACTGACAGGAGTCTTTTTAACAGGAAAAATGGGACTCAGAGACAGTGGAATATTATTACCAGAGTGAGATGAGAAGACAATTTCCTATCCACCAAAACTATATTTCAAGAACAAAAGTGAAATACATCTCTAAGCAAGTAAAACTCAGGAGCATTTACTATTAACAGATTCTTGCTTTAAAAAAAAGTATAAAGAATGTACTTCAGGAGTAGAGAAAAAAATCATAGATAAAAAGTCTAAAACAGGATGAGGAAGGGAAAAACTCATAAATATGTGGATCAATCTAAAAACTGTTAGTACAATGACAATGTCTAATTTGTGGGGTTTAAAAGTAATAAAGGTTATACTTCAATAAAGCTTTTACAGGACATTGAGGCAGAACTTAAATCCTGGGCTTTGAATCACATACAATGGAGGAAGAGGTGATTGTCTTTAAGTGTTCTAAGGTACGTAGCTTATTTAGCTGGAGTGTGAAGCTCTTAATAAACTTTATACTGTGTTAAATATACAAGATAAAATTTCTCAGATAACACGTTAAAAGAATAAAGATAAGTATGTAAAATTCAAGCTGGTAAAAGGAGAAACAGATTTTGAAAACAATCCATCTAAAAAAGGCTAGAAAAAAGATAACGATTGTCTAACTGAATTAAACAAAACGCAGCTTTGTTCTGGCTACTAGAGTCTTATCCAAACCCAAAGAAGGTTGAAAATAAAAGAACAGGAAAACTTAACTTGTCAAATCCACACTGTAGATGTACTTGTGACCCCAACAGCCAGAGAGCAACTTAACATAACAATCCTATTCTTGCTAAAGTTAAAATACAAACTATCTGGTTCCACCAAAAGAGGTGTGGGGAATACAAGAAGGCAAGGGAAAAGAAGACATTAAAAGAGAAAAGGTGGGGAGAGGAGAGGAAGCTAGAAGGGAGAAAGGGAGGAAGGGAGGGAGGGGGGAGGGGTGTGGTGACTCCCAGTTCTCTGTCAGAAGGATTCATAAAGTTTAAGTCCTCTCTTGTCAGGGGAAACCACAGCACGAAGGGGAGGGGCCAAGGGCAATTTGAACTGTGTGCATTAAAATCCACTGCGCCCTCCTGGATGTCTCAAAATGCCTCGTTCACTCTCTGAATCCCAAGCAGTAACTGATAGGCTTGCTTTTAATATAAGGAGAGGGAAACAAAATCAAATATCAGCAGGCTGTATTCCTAGATAAACAAACACACTACATTCATAGACAACTAGTCAGTTAAGGATTTTGATACCTAAACTTTTTTTTTCTTTTGACAAATATGTAGAATAAGTTTCTAAATCTGTCAAGTAATACATCCTTTTATTTAATATAAGAGCTATCTTACCTACCTTGAAGTTTGTACATTAATTTTACTATTTAGCAGGCTTGAAGGGGGAACAAACGTTGAGTCTTATAATAAATTATGGGTCTTTAGCAAATTGGAACTATACCTATGTCTTTATAAAATTATTTTTTATAGCTTAGTGCCCTACAAGAAATACTTCACTTTATGAGGAATATTTATAATATTGTTTTAGTTCTGATTTTCCCAAGAACATTAATAACAAGTTGAATCACAAAAACTGTTTACAACTTTTCAGAAACACACAAACTGAAAAAAGCAAAGTACACTTAAATTACTAAGTAGCCTGGCTCTTCAACTATCCAGCTTTAAGCATCTTTATTTAGACCATGCCCTTCATTAGAACCAGGCCAACTTGCTGTCAGATTACGGTGCCAAGTCTAAGACGAAGTTAAATACCATGGACAGCTGCTTTCTAGGCCAATGACAGCCTAGCACCACAACAGATCAAGGCCCGCAGCAGCCAGGTCAGGCGCGCAGAAAAATGAGCCGAATGCCCTGAAACTCAACTGCTTCATGCCCTGAAGGATTCAGATTTATTCCTAACCAGCTGTAGAGAAGTTTTATGAAGAGAGCCCCAATCGTTTACTAATAAAAATACCCTGAAAACAAGTCTCTGCATAGCTTAGATATTGCCAGCCAATGGGTCACTTATCTTAAGCAAAATTCCAAATAATAAAATTTTAGGACAAAAAAAGGCTCTTGGACGTTTCCTTTGAGTTTATGATAATATTTAGCCTCTATTTATTCACTGGATGTGAACGAGAACTTATGAATATTATAAGTCAACAAATATTATATGACCCTAAGAGGTATACTGGCCTGCTTAACTCAACCATTCACTGGAGTAAATTCAATCTTCAAGGAATGTTCTATAATTCTTGAATCTCAAATAATTTATTTGAATTCGCTTTTCCTTTTTTTTTTTTTCTTTTTTGAGTTGGAGTCTCACTCTGTTGCCCAGACTGGAGTGCAGTGGTCGCTCCCGGTCACCGCAGCCTCGACCTGCTGCGTTCCAGCGATCCTTCTGCCTCAGCCTTCCAAGTAGCTGGAACTACAGGCGTGCGCTACCATGCCCCGCTAATTTTTTTTGGATTTTTTGTAGAGATGAGGTCTCGCCAAGCTGCTCAGGCGGGTCTCGAACCTGCGGGCTCAGGCAATCCACTCACCTCACCCTCCCAAAGCTCTGGGATTACAGGCTGAGCCACCTCGCCCAACTCGAATTCACTTTTCATTTAACAATGAAACATAAAAGGAAGGGAAGTAATATTTATTGAACAGTCCACATTTGCCAAGAACTATGCTAAATGCTTAACATTCACTTCTTCATCTAATAATTTTATCAATCTTATGAAGAAGGTATCATTATTCTGATTTTCCATTGGGCAAACTGAGGCTTAGAGAGTCCAAATGACTTCACTGGGCTTCTTACACAACTGGGTTTAAACTCTTTTCTTTCTGAGTCAAAGCCTCAGGGTCTCTCTACTATCATGTGGCACTATATAACTTTTAAAAAAGGTTAATAATAGTATCACTAAAATAAATATAATAATAACAAGAAAACAAAAAGCCGCACACAGGGGAGAGCAATTAAATGAGCTGTTTCACATGCTCCCATGCTTCACGGTTGTCCTATCACATATATTATCAATAATAGAACCAAATTAAGATTTTCAATTTGTCTATGAAGCAAGAAGCCTCAAAGATATTTCACTGCCTGCAGTCCATCAGAGTTGATGATTTTTTAGCAAGAACCATTTGATGATTTGTATGAGAATATACAAAATGTGCTTCCTCCACTTTTCTAAACTCGCAGGCCCAATTTTTGTGCAAACAGGATAAAGAGGTAGCTTTGCATGAAAACATGCTTTGTATTTTGTTTCCTAGCACATTCTTCTCTATACAGACTCCACTGAAGGCCTCATTTGGCTTAAGATCTCTTTTCCTAAGTGTTCTGATGATATCAGAAGCACCGATTTCTGTAGGTAAGGTGGGCTATGCAGCCAGAAATCAACTCTGCAGACCACAGGGCTAGTTGGCCACACTCACAGACTCACCTCTCTTTGGGACACCTTACGTTCAGTGCTTAGAGAACAACCCTTCACAAGATTCTGAATGCAGGCATATAATAAAAGTTATAACTAAAAACAAAAAAACAAAAAACAAAAATTTCCAGCATAATTCAAAAGTGAAATTGGCAAGGTGAAATTTCCTAAAGGAAATCACACATCATTATGTACCACCCCAAAATGTACGACTGTGCTCAGCATTCTTGAGTAACACCAAACAAGACATAGCTATGTTTAAAAAAAACAAAAACACAACTCTACTCTCATCAGTTACCAAATGTTCAAAGAAACAATAACGATTAAGTGAAATAAATTAAAGCTGTTTGATGCTAAAAGGAAAATAACACAATGAACACATTTGAGGGGGTGGGAATCAGAAACAGAAGAAATAGTTATGAATATAACCTACTTTCTTTTTCAATTAGGTAAATCTAAAATTTCCAAATTAAAAAACACAATATTAAGTACAGCACATAATTATGGATATGAATAACAACTGTTAAAGAATGTCAGCCTGAATTGCTGACTTATAAATTATCAAAAAAAATGACCCACCACAGTCACTTAATTGATCCTGCCAGGGCTACTTCAAAGAATGGTTTGCAACTGATTAAATTCTGTCTATAAAACCTGTAATTAGAAAGTTATGTCCCAAATACATGAAACCGTCTTCCACACCCCATTAAAACCAGAACACAGACTCTTCTTGCAGTCATACATATACCATCAGATTGCTCTGTAAATTCATTTTTCATAAATATTGCCAACATAACCTACAGCCCAGTCTGTGCCTAAGTCAATGAAGTTCTACTGTGGTGTAAGAAAACCAAAAAAGTACTGAGTCTTCAAAAATACTTTTTAACTACTGATATGCCCAAGGTATTTATATAAGCCACCGAATCCTTGGCTCTAAAACAATATGCATTTCCTTGACAATTGTTTAGTACTCTAATTGGAATAAGCACAGAGACCATTAATGCAACCCACTCAAACAGGTTTGATGAGGGGGCTTGAAGGACAACTTTTTGGCTACCAAGTCAGAACAGGAGAGAGGCTCCTATAATAATGGCCCTCTGTCTTATGCCCCGAAGGAGATAGATGTATTCAGTAGTCACATCTGAATACATATATATTTTGCCAACTGATTTTTTTTGTTTTACTACAGTTTTTAACAAACAACCATTCACTAAAATAAATGTTAGAAAAAATATAGTATAAAATGTTTCTTTTTTGCATGTAATAAGTGGAAATATTATAGTGTTGTTTTTTTTTTCCTGCACTTTGCTTCCATTTCATGGCTACTACAAAATTGGTCATCAAACCCGACTATGAAACAATTATGTAAATTTAGCTAAGTTAATATCATTTTTTCTTTTCTTTTTGGACAAAATCTCTCACCCCCTGCTCAAACATCTGTTTTTTTGCACACATGAGAATTTTCCCAGATGCTAGCATGAAAAGTCTGTGTATGTATTTTGGTTTTCTGTTTAAAATCACATTCAGATACAACATTCCACTGCTAGGATATAAAGCATAACTGCATTATGATACAATATATAATTTTATTGATGCTGCTTGTCCCTTATTTTACAAAATTATTTACATTTTTGAAGATCAATTCCTTCTAAGCTCTTTACCAATCTGCTTTCCACCTAAGTGGGAGGACGGCCACTACTGTCATTAAAACTGTTAAAAAATCTACCATGAAAATATTTGGGGTCATGATTCTTATGGTGTGCAAAATGGGTCATTGCCATACAGAGAAGGGGGTTGGGTTGACCAGGGACTCTCGTTACAAAGAATGCTGATCAGTTCCTGGTCAAGTGATCTGAAACACGATTGTGTGAATCAAGAAAATGGCCATGGCCACTCTAATGACCAGACCTGCTAGGCCCTAGGCTGATGATTCAAGGTATTGCTGTGGTGACAAGAAACAAACTTTCTTCCCCCAGACATCTTCATAGAGGTGGCTGTTGATAACTGTCATGTGCCCATGTAAAAAGAGTCCCGCAACTTGCTAGCCACATACACTTTGCCATGCAGATTAAACTGCTCACAAAATCATTATGCCTACTTGCAGAAAATAAGAGGCAAATAACTGCTGAGTTTGCTCTGGGATGCTTATGTAACCTGTATGTACAAATGTTTTACTCAGAAGCAAGTTGCTGGGGAGCTCAGTAAATGTCTACAAGAATACCCCCAAATTATTTGTTTCTACTGCTTTGTTAGTCTGGCTATCACAAAACTACAGAATGCAATCTGCTATCCACAACAGCCCCAAACACCCTCACATTTTAAAAAATTGCAGCTCTCAAAAGCACAGTAACTCAGAACTAGGGTCAAGAAGGGCATTCAATAAAAAAACTACCACCACCAACCTTTGCTTGGGCCTCTGGTGCTGTCACCTTGACGACTTTTTTGCGATTTATCATTTGCTTCACCCATTTTTCTACTTGGACGTTGAATTTCATGAAAACCACATAGCAAAAGTAAGCGGTTAAGAGAAGCAAGCTTTCCCACCACATGATAACATTATCCAGGAAAAATATAATCAGCATGATCAAGTCAACGATGTAGAAGGACACATCCCGAAAGAGCGGCCACCAGGTCAGGTTCAAGATTTCTCTAGAAAACAGAGCACACATGCCAATAACAAAGAGGATATTGAATACCGCGGAGCCTACGATTGTGCCTATGCCAACGTTGCTGTGAGCAATAAACACCCCAATGAGCGATGTGAAAAGTTCTGGGGCTGAACCCCCTGCAGCCATAAAGGTGGCTCCGGCCACATCATCAGAGATGCCCAGTTTTTCGGTGATGACAGTCAAAGAAGGGACGAAGAACTCATCGCAGACAATGGCTAAGGCTATGAACATGTAGATCATTCCAATGACATGGAGAATGATTGCACCTCTTCTTCTCTCCTCAAGGGAAAAGATGTCTTTAGGGTAATCTCCTTGGGCATGATCAGTACTATTCTCAGAGTTGCCTTCCTTAGAAAGTGGTGGCTGTGGCGTATAATCCCGAATCTTGTCATTTAAATCTAAGAGAGTTCTTTGATGGTACCCCTGTGCTACCCTGGGGCCACGGACAACACTGGCCTCTCCTGTGCTCTGTGTGTCTGTCTCAGAAAAGGCACCGATTGAAAATGAGACAGTGCTAATGGCTACCAAGCCCATGAAAAGGCCTAAGATTCGAATGAACTTCAGTTTTTTCTTGACATTATGATGTCTCCGGCAGCCAGACAGTGACTCATCCGAATACCATTTCTCCAGGAATGTGATGGTGGTGCTTTGGTGCGGATCCATTCTGGGTCTCCTGGTGGATGTGGTGGTCTTCAAACTTGAGACTCACCCAGATGGTTCTTTCATACTTTTCCTTACTTGGTACTTAACGGTGCGCGTGGGGCACTTCCGCAATCAGGAATTGTTATGCTTCTCAGGAAATGTTCATCATTTATGCTTAAATAAAAATAAAAACAAAAATAAGTAAATCATAAAATCATGCTTTTTTAACATAAAGAACTTTGCAGGTATGATACCGCCTTGCTCTGCAGCTGTGTGATCTTGGATAAGCCACTTAACACCTCTGTGCCTCAATTTCCCCATTTAAAAACGGGGACGATTATGGTGCTTACCCCCAGGATTGCTTTAAGATGAGTCAAAACATATCGCAGCACTTAGAATAGAATGTAGAACACAGTCACCACTTATGAACATGTATGCATAAACCCAAATAAATATTTTGGTAAATCCAGTGTTAGATGTGGAAACTATACATGTGTGTAAAAAATGAAAATTGTATAGATGAAAAAGCTATCAGATTATTTTACCTTAAATCATGTAACAACCTCCCAGTGCTAAAAAGATCCCCCCCTTTTAGAACTATCTAGGTACTTGGCAACTAACGATTTTTCGTTGTGCTTTCTTTGAGTCCAATTACATAATTCCCGGTTGTGGGCACACTTTTTTTGGGTTCAATCTATCGTTTGGAAAGGGTTGAGGGTAGGAGAAGGTAGTACTCTTTCCTGCACACTCAGTGATCTCAGGATCTTGTTTTTCATAAAAAGCCTCTCCATCATCAGATACAGGAAAGCAACCTTTTACAAAAATTTAAGTTTACAAAAGAATGCTCTGGTGGCACGCACAAGCAGTCTCCTCTAAACATCTAGACATTGTTTTCAGCTAAAGTTTTTTGTTGTCGGGTTTTTTTTTTTTTTTTTTGGTGGGTTTTTTTTTTTTGGTAACGTTTAGTCACATCTAAAACAGAAAGCTGCGTAAACCAAACAACTCTCAGTGCAGTGAAATAACAATAAAGCTATTTGGAGAGACCCAACGTGCATTTCATGCACAATACGCAAGTTGCAGCAACGTCTCTGTCCACATAACCTGCCCCAAACAGCCCCAACACCGACGTGAGCGGCTTGGACACCCAGGGCAGACTTTTCATTCTCCAGCCCACGGGGGAGACGGGGAGGGCGTCCGGTCACGACAGCCGACGTTCGGACGGTTCCCCTCGCACCTTTTTCTTTAAAAACACGGCTCTCTTCTGCGCCAGCGATTTCGTGCTGGAGGCCTTCGCCGAGAGGATCTCAGGTGTCCAGTAAGCCCGTTAAACACACGCCACTTAAACACCGAGATTAGCGGGCGCTCAGCTCTGCAGACCCAGCCAGCGGCACGAGTCAAGCCCGGCTGAGCGGCGGCCG